ATATATATATATATATATATATATATATATATATATATATATATATATATATATATATATATATATATATATATATATATATATATATATATATATATATATATATATATATATATATATATATATATATATATATATATATATATATATATATATATATATATATATATATATATATATATATATATATATATATATATATATATATATATATTCACTAAATCATAATGCTTTTTATCTTAACATACAAGTTAAGTTAGACATGGGAGTTTTAGATGAAAGTTGATAAGCACTATGTATGAATTTTGTATACGAGTTTTGGAAAGAAAAGTTTCACTATAAGACTTTGATCTTATTTTAAATAGCAGCTCTAAAATAAAAGAAAAAATGAAATGTGAACTCCGGATTGGAGATAATCCATAAAACATTTGAGATAATTCAATGTCGATCACCATCAAATATTTCGATGATAGATTCAAAATCAATACTTAATCTTCATCTGAATTTTCTGTCTCCACATATACTGAAAATGAAGAAATTTCTTTCTTCCCAAGAGTAGGAGTACACAAGACTGGCTTTGGAGGAACTTGTATGGATTCAATACTTCCTTCTAACATTTCAACAACCTTCGACATTGATGGCCTATCCGATGGAGTTGTCTGAATGCACCAAAATCCGATCAAAAACATTTTCCTTGCTACTTCATCGTCATCGTCGATCACAATCAAATCGTTTGCTTTCTCGGTGGCATCAACTACATACTCGTAGATTTTGTCGGGAAAATAATTCTCACTGGATTGAACTTCTTCGTTTCCGGCAAATTTTCTCGCACCAGCCATTTCAAGAACCATCATTCCATAGCTATAGACGTCAGATTTATGAGAAACTCCTCCAAAATTTCTCGAAAACACTTCAGGAGCAATATACCCAATAGTCCCTCTTGTCCCAAGCACTGATAATATGCTTTGCTTTTTCTTACACAACTTAGCAAGCCCAAAATCTGATATTTTCGGACAGAATTCCTCGTCTAAAAGAATGTTTTGAGGCTTAATGTCAAAATGAACAATCCTAGTCTTGCAGCCTATGTGCAGATATTCTAGTCCCTTGGCAACTCCAACGGCAATCTCGTACAATTTCTCCAAATCCAGACAATTATTGTTGTTGATGAACTTGTCTAAAGATTTATTGGGCATAAACTCGTACATTAAAGCTCTCTTATTTCGATCAAAGGAAAATCCCAAGAGATTGACAATATTGACATGGGAAGTTCTACTAATGCTAGCAACTTCATTTATGAATTCTTCTCCATTGCCATCGGCCTCGATCAGAACCTTGACAGCAACGAGGGTTCCATCAGATAATACACCTTTGTAGACACTACCATATCCTCCTTGACCAAGCTTCTCATTGAAGGATTTGGTTATTTTCTTGATTTCTGAATACTTGTATCTTTTTGGAGCGAGTAATCCATGTTGTAGTAGAATACTTTCGACATCTTGGTTAGATTTCTGGTTGGGGCCAGTTGGCGTACGTCCTTGTTTAAGACATAATTTTGTGGCAATGAACACTATAATCACACCACTGATACTAAGTAGCACCACCACCGCTGCATATTAATAGTATATATATATTCATTACGTGCATGATCCAATAACATAGAGAAGTAATTATAAAACAGAACATAGTGCATTCGAGGGTACAAGGATATATCTTTACCTATGATAATTTCAGTAACATGGTTTCTCCTCCCTGCAATCAAAGTAAACCTTAAAACCTTAGACGAAATAGTTCCAACTTACATTTCAAGAAAAAAGAAAAAGAAAAAAATATTGAGAGGATAAGTTGTGGATATATACCATGTTTATCGTGATTATAGGACCCGTCATTTCCGGGGTAATAAGCTGCAGCAATCGGAGATAAACTAGGAGGCAAACCGTGTCCGGTGTGAAGATCGTTGCCGCCACTTTCAGGGGAATATGCAGGTGCTAGTGTGGAAGTAAGGTAGTTAATTCCAATGAAATTTAATTTTCCAGTACAACTATTTAGGAGTAGAAATTAAACGAATCTTATCGCAATTAGCTCTTTTGGGAAACTTTCCACAAAATTCGAAACTGAATAAGAAATTCTAGTTACATTCAAAAACAAAAAAGATCGGAAATTTTCGGATTGGAAACTGCGGAACTCGGAACATTCAAATGTTTAAGTCATGTAAAATATAAAATGTATAATAATGTTGATATTATAAGTGTAATTTTTGGAAAAAAAAAAGTCGGATTTTGAAATTACTTTTGGAAACTAAAATCGGATCGAAATTAGAATCTCATATATATTCCAATCCCGATAAAAAAAAATTCGAAAAAATCGGAACCGAAATTGGAATCTCATAGATATTAGGGAAAATTGCACGTCTATCCCCTATATTTTTTTTAAGTTTTGCACTTTACACCCTCAAAATTTGAAAATATGAATGTCCCCCTTTAAAATAATTCATGTTGCACATTGCCCCTATAGCAAAATTCGGATGGACTATTCACTGGACTTGAGTGTTTTTATTGCAAGTTGTCCCTTAAAAACATTATTTTAAATGTAATTTTTGTTGCACCTTGTCCCTTAAAAACATTTTTTTTTTGCAAGTTGCCCCTTAAAAATATTATTTTTGTTGAACGATGCTTATGTGGAACCAAAATAATATTTTAAAGGTGGTTAACCCTTTTTTAAATTCTTAGGGGGGGGGGGAGTGCAAAAATGGAAAATTTATAGAGGGTGAAGTGCATTTTGTCCTTGAAATTATTATTCAAAAAATTTGACAATTTCAAATCGAAATCGATGAGAATCGGAGATCTTGTTCCAATTTCCATCATTAAGAATTCTTATCCATTTATTTGTATCCGTATCCATTTATTTGGATTCCTATTCAGGCCAAAATCAGTTATACAAAAAAAATCATCCCTTTGTCTCTTGCTCAAAATACCCTCACAATACAATTTACATCAATTTCACCTATAATGTCCCAACTTAACAAATAATACTAGTGATCTCAGATTTTAACAGATATATCACATTAACTCCATTTCCACAATGTTTTGATTTTTTTTTCTTCTGGAATTATTTTTTTTATTGCTGGTCTCCAGCGTTAACTTTTTCTCTTCTTTTTTTCTCCGGCTGTTGAACCCACAGTAATCTTACTATCGTACGCAGTAATATTACCGTATTCACAGTAATTTTACCATCTTACACAATAATATTATTGCATTCACAATAATATTGAATACTTTTTAACTTTTTTTTCTATTTTTTTAACAACTAATACAGTAATTTTACTGTCTGAGATAGTAATATTGCAGGCCAAGATAGTAATATTAATATTAAGTATTAACACAGTTATATTACTGTTTGAGACAGTAATATTGTAGGCCAAGACAGTAATTTTAATATTAAGTATTAAAACAGTTATATTACTGTTTGAGACAGTAATATTGTAGGCCAAGACAGTAATATTACTGAAAATATTTAAAAGAAAGAAAGAAAAAAAAAATGGCTGACCGGTGGTGTTAGTCAAAATTTAGATTAAAATTGGATTATGAGTCAAATTTGCTTAACTGATGAAATTGAGCTAAATTGTTGTTGTTTACATCATGAAACTGGAGGTGAATTAGAGTTTCAATGAGTTAGGGAGAATTTTAATATATACTAAAAAGTTTTTCTTATTAATAAAAAAAGTTTTGATGAGTGAATATATTTGCAAGAAAAAAAAATAGAATGTCCCTTTTTAACTAAGTGTTTTTGTCGTGTCTTTTTTGCAATTTGCCCAAGAAAAATATAGTAAATTATAATGGGAACCTGAAAACAACAAAGTAAAATACCTTGAGGAAATTGTTCAGGATGGGGAGAGGGGGGGCTAACAACGGAGCTGTCGTGGCTGCAATTGTACATATTACAATAGCGTACCCGAGGAGGAGACAGGCAAGTAGCATAAACTTGACTATTGCAATAAGGAATAGAACGCTCTTTCCCATCCGACAACCAGCGGACGGAAAATCCAGAAGCAAGAGCCGACTGCAAAATGTTTATCGAAGAACTCGTCGGATTCTCTAGAGACTGCGCGTCATCCTTACTCACCGGAACGGTAATACTCTCCCCGCACGTGATGTTGGGCCCGGGGCCCTCCGGCGATTCGTCGAACAGATTGACTCCGCCGCCGTCGCAGCTGAATCGATTGGGTTTCGATTCCAGGTTACCGGTCTCGCCATTTTTGTCGGAGCAACCGTAGTAGAGAGTGACGTTGTTTTCTTCGGATTCGGACGTGTATTCGAAGAGGGCACGGTCTATGGTTGTGTCGCGGATAATTGTCGGACAAGTGTTGGTCAACAAGTCTTCTCTGGCGATCTTGAGTGTGTTGTCGTCGAAATTGATTTTCTGCACTACGTACGTTAATGATGAGATGTTCAGCTTCGGAAGGCCGTTGTCGCAGATGAGCTTGTAGCCTGGGCTGCGGCCGCAGGACCGCGGGCGGGCGCTGCCCCAGAACGGGTAGCTTATGTACCGGACGTTGCCGCAGTCGAATGGCACGCCGTTGCATATTTGAGAGAGGAAACACGGGAAATAGATTGCTAAGAGGATTGCCACAAACCAGAGTATCAAATGTTTGTGTTCCATTTTTTAGGAGAGAGAAAAACTTAGACCACTTGTTTCCCGGGAATACGATTGGTTGGTTTATACTTTATAATAGCTCATTCATCCTTCAAAGACTTGGAGTCAATGCTCGCCGGCTCAATAGAGTATCTTTCTTTTATTTGCTACATCCTTATTTTCCACCACTAAACAGTTAGCCTTTAATTTTGGAGTTTTTGTACATACAACTAGGGCTGGGCATTTGGGATGGGGATTCGGGATCCCGTCCCGTCCCGATCGAAATTTTACTATTTGGGACTAAAACTTCGGGAATTCGGGATTACGGGATTCGGGATTGGGATCAGGAACAAAAACGGGATCGGTATTAGGGAATTGGTTCAATCCCGATCGGGATATTTTAATCCCGAATTAGGAAAAAAAGAAAAAAAAAAACTAATAAAAAAATACACACACACACATATATATATATATATATATATATATATATATATATATATATATATATATATATATATATATATATATATATATATATATATATATATATATATAATGTGTAATTGTGTAAAGGAGATGAGAAATACAATATAAAATATATTGTTTCAACTTATTTTTAAATTTTTAAAATTTTATTTGTTCCAAGTTTTGTGGTAAAAATAAATAAGGCAAGAACAATAGTATGTATATAATATATTCAAGTTGGTTTAGTGTATAAAATAATACTAATGGAAAAAAGATGTAATATTTCTTAGTTTTTAGGCAAAATATGGGATTTCCCGATCCCAATCCCGATTCCCGAAATATTTAGGGATACCGATATAATCGGGATTTAATAGTTTGGGACGGGATTGGGATTTAAAATTTCTATCCCGAATCCCGAAATCCCGATCCCGAAAATCCCGAATTCCCGAAATCCCGTCCCGAACTCACCCCTACATACAACGTGACCAATCATCCACCAATCTTTATTACTCTACATTTGGGGATCTATATATATATATTTTTTGTCCGCCATTAAGTCAATTCATTTAATATGTATTATAAATAAAGAAAAATTAATGTATATGACAAAATTATTCACAATCATTTACACTCAATTCTTAATTGCAACACCAATTTAATCAATTTTGACTACAAAAATTTAATTTTGACTTTTTTTTAAACTTATCTTTTTTCTGAAATTATTTTTTTTGCCGTCGGTTTCCGGCGTTGACTTTTCGAAAATTTTATTTTGGTCTGCTTTTTCCGCCGCCCGTTTTCGGCGTTGACTTTTTCGATTTATTTTCTTTTGTCTGCTTTTTTCCGCCGTCGGCTTCCGGCGTTGACCTCCGGTCTCCGACGTTGACTTTTTTTTTAGTGATTGTTTTTTCTTTTTTTTTTCCTAAAATTTGTATCCGTTTTTTTACCCTGCACCTAAATGTTGACCGTAATTGTACTGTCATTAACAGTAATTATACTGTCGCTGACAATACATTAACGTAATTATATTGCCGCTGCAGTACATTAACGTAATTGTACTATCGCTGACAGTACATTGAAGTAATTGTATCATCGTTGACAGTACAATTACAATCAACGACAATATTATTATTTTTTTGGTTTTTTTTTATTTTCTTATTTTGTTTGATTTGTTGACAAGTCAACGTGATTATATTATTGTCCTTGACAGTAAAATAACTGTAAGCACAATAATATTACTATCAACCATATCAATATTATTATTTTTTTGGATTTTTTGTTTTGTTTGAGTTGCTCACGGTGTAACGTAATAATATTACTGTCTACTGTTGTAATATTACTGTAAACACAATAATATTACTGTGGTTGACGGTAATATTACTGTGGTTGACGGTAATAATACTGTTGTTACAGTAATATTACTGTCAACCACATCAATACTAATTCTTTTGGATGTTTATTATGTTTACCTTTGTTGAACGGTCAACATATTAATATTACTCTATTACACAACAATAATGACTTTCGTTGTGTTAAAATTATTGTGCAAGAGATTAATATAACAATATTAATGTGTCAAACTGTAGTACAGTTAATATTACTGTGTTTGTTAGCCTGGGTTTGGCAGCAATTGTCCACGTGGTGGAGGCCCGGGTATGGGCGGCCCACAATCGAATGCCGTGGGCGCTTGTGTGTATTGAATGCACTATAAGGCTAGGGTTTGCGCCTTTCCTAACACCAATTGGTTTCAGGACAACTGGTAGCGCCTGAGGTCCTACAAGTGGTATCAGAGCCAATGTCTAGCACTATAAGGCTAGGGTTTGCGCCTTTCCTAACACCGATTGGTGTCCTGATAGCGCCTATTTTTTTTTTTAAAGAGTTTTCTGTATGGACCCATTTATGAATAAGTAACTATTGATGGAATTATTTGTAAAGTGTCCTTTAATCTTTTTTTTTTTAAACACCCAATAACCAATATATCCAAGCAGCAGTATCGTTAGACCTCGTTTGGTTGTCTAGATAAGATTAGCCAAGATAAAATTAAATAATATAATAAAATCCGGTTGTATTAATGGACCTTGGAAGATCCAATAAAAATATGCCTAGAAGGCAATATAAGATATGATAATATACTATTTGCGGGTGGACCCGGCAAGTTATTGGATAATGGAGATACCAAATATCAAACAAAGTCCAACTATTTAGTTAATAATGGCTGCCAACCGAACGAGGCCTTAGGCTTTTCAAGTATTATCTACCAATTAATTTTAAAATAATTCCGTGAATTATTGGTTTACTCGGCTTGTTCAACTTAGAAATTATTATTATTATTATTATTATTATTATTATTATTATTATTATTATTATTATTATTATTATTATTATTATTATTATTATTATTATTTCAGAACTAGAAGAAAGAAATGGTCAACTCAACGAGCTATTCCCCACGATACAAATGGTAAGGGCAAAAGTGTAATTGCACAGTAATTTTTAACATCGTCAGAATCCCGATCTTTGACTATTAAAAATAGGGGGGCATTTCGTATTTTCTGGTAGTGTAGGGGGTTGAATGTGACGATGACTATAGTACAGGGGTGGAAATTGCATTTTACCCATAATTTTAAAATAATTTAGGGAATTATTGGTTTACTTGGCTTGTTCAATTTAGAAGTTAATGGCTTCATTCAGTAGATTGATTACCCATTGGAAACAAAATTAAATATCAAGATGTTGTTTCTAGATAAAGTAAGTATACAGTTATCTCTATATATTTACCGGTTTGGAAGAAAGAAAAAAATCTATATTACGTGTGTATTGGTTCAAAGAACAAGAAGTATTTGGTTACACGCCGAAGTACTTGACTCCTTTAGAGTCTTAGACAACTATATACACGTCAAACAAAATTCAAATTGGAGGACTTGAAGAAATAAGATGATTCAAAACTTTTAATTTTACTTTATCATAGAGAAATTTGAAAAAATGTGGCATGTGAATATAATGCTAAAAATGTCGATTTATTCTGAGCAACGTCGGGTGAAACACTGCGATGATCGGATATATCATTATATCATTCATCCATGTATGAAAACACGAGCTATCATCCATATTGACAAGCGTATAAATAATAGATAGATATATTTAGCGATCTAGCATATACTTAGAGTAAACTGTAAAAAGTACCCCAGTGTAATCTCCAAATAGCAAAAAACCCCCCTATAATAATAAACTAGCAAAAAAACCCCTGTGAAATTTAGTCAAAGGCAGAAATCCCCCTATAATAAATAAACTAGCAAAAAAAACCCTGTGAAATTTAGTCAAAGGCAGAAACCGCCCTGGTTGACTTTCGTGTGGCTCACGATTGATAGTTGATTTTTGGACGTGAAATGATGAAATTGACCATCAAAATGTATTTATATGTTCTTTTTACTTTGATTGTTTAGAAATTAAAATATTATTAAAAAATAGTAAACAAATAAACTGAAAAATTATTAAAAATTTGGTAATCGAATGAAGAATAGGTATTTTTAAATCCAAAATAAAGAAATAGATAATAATGGAATTTAAGTTTTCTTTTGATGTTAGGGATAATTTAAAATATATACATAAATTATCTGATAATAAGAATAGAATAATAAATTATCTAATTAAGATATAAATAAAATAAAATAATTAAAATATTTAAAAAATATAAGAATTTATTAATTGTAAACCCCGGGGGTATTTGTGTCTTTTTATATCAAGTCAACATTCAAATCAATAATGCTCTGAGTGTGCTATATAAATAATTTCACATGGGGGTTTTTGCTAGTTTATTTATCACAGAGATTTTTTTGTTATTTGGAAATTACATAGGGGTACTTTTTACGGTTTACTCCATAAATTTAAGGGCAAAGTTCAGTTTGCACCCCTGAATTATGGGGTATGTATCAAAGACCCCCATGAATTACAAAACGTACCAAAATGATCCCTCTATTTCCAATTCATTTGTGGTGTGCTGATGTGGCAAGTTGACTTTCTCAAATTAATATTTTTTTACATTTTTACCCCTCACTTGTTATATCTATATGTATAAAGATATACACAATTTATTTTATGTATAAAGATGAATATATTTTGCCCCATGATATTTTATATTTTCTTAAAATATTAATATAGTAAAATATTTAATTTATATTTTCATTTAGTTAATAAAATTGTTCTCACACATACTCATTATCATCTCCATTTTTTGTCCAAAATTAAGATTTATCGCATAATAAATTTATCGCCTAAAATTAGAATTTTATTTACTCATGAGCTTGTTTTGTCTTTTGAAGAACTCAATTTTGGAGAAAGAGAGATGTGCGAAGAAGAACTTAGATTGGGGCAAAGAAAAAAGAAAAAATAAATAATAATATATATAATAGTAATAAGGGTAAAAAGGTAATTTCCCGCCCAAAACTAGTAGAGTTAATTTTTTAATGTTTGACTAAAAAAGACAGGGGGCTATTTGGTACGTTTTGTAATTCAGGGGGGTCTTTGATACATACAACATAATTCAGGGGTGCAAACTGTATTTTCCCCTAAATTTAACTCTGAAATATAATCCAAATCAATCAACATTATGTTTGGTCCATATATATATATATATCCTCCTTCCAATTAAAAAAGTGGGGCAAATCATTTATACAAACAAGGGAATATTGAATACCAGAACTTGTTCAAACACTAGCAGTCGAAAGTGTCAACAGTGTGGACCTACTTATAATTTCCCATTTTGATTTTTCAAAATTATATTCATCTAAATTTGCCTTGCAATATATCCTCCAATATAAATATTTTTGTCAAAATGGCCCGTCGGGGACTTCAATCGAGACCTTTTAAAAAGTCGGAACTTATTGCTAGCGAAATTATATCGTTGTGGGAGTTTTAGCTAATGAAACCTAATAACAAAGCACACATATATATATAGGGTAAATTACAAACACCCCTCTGAGGTATGGTCAAATTACAAAAACCCCCCTCTTGTTTGGATAATTACATCTACCCCCCTCAACTATGATTTTTTCTTACATCTCCACCCTTATGGTGCCAAATTCAACATAATCATCTAGATTCCGTGAAATGTGCTCTAGTTCGTACTCGTTTTGTGTAAAAATACAGTTTCCGATGCACCACAAACTGATATATATAAGCTAAAAATCACATATTATGATCATCTTGCTTCATAATGTAGAGTTTGAATGGGATAAAACGGGTACAAAAGTGATAATATTCCATATAATCTCGAAGATTCCACTAAATTTGAGGAGTTGAGGGGGTGGTTGTAATTACCCAAACAAGAGGGGTGTTTTTGTAATTTGATCATACCTCAGGGGGTGTTTGTAATTTACCCTATATATATATATATATATATATATATATATATATATATATATATATATATATAGTCATGTTTATCAAATTATACAAAACAACGAATATTGCCTATTGTTTAGAAAACAATCCTATCAACATCCACATAAAAAAATCACAATTTGAATGTTGTCATTACAAGTCAACTTGAAACGAAAAGATAGAATATATTTGAATATGACTACAGTCATGTTCAACAAGATTCATATTCGAATATGATACAGTCATATTCAGACAATAGTCATATTCGAATATGACTATAGTCATGTTACTGCTGTTAGTTCAGATCTGGAGAAAAATGGATAATTAGTGAAAACCCCCCTAGCTAGTCTTTTACTTATATTATGCTGGATTCAGCCCCTTTTGTATTATTAGCCATACCCCATCACTTGTCATTTAAGATTAATATTTTAATAAAATCTTATACGATAAGACTATTTTACCCCAAAATTATAATTTACTTATATTATTTCAGATTTATTATTTCTCAAAGTGCCAAACCCTATCACGTTCAATTATTTCTCTCCCCTTCCATCTCAGCCTCGTCGCCGCCATCTCCCCCATCCACCTCATATCCGATGCCGCCAAGTCTCTACTGACGAAGTCTTTGAGCCGCTCCGCCGAGAAACTAATCAGACCGCCCAAAATAAGTGTAATGAGCGGATCATAAATCTCATTGTCGTCACCTCCGACTGACGCCGCCAAAAGCTGTTCTCAACGCCGTGATGGTGAAAAATTCACTCCATCTACCCATCACTCCGATGACGAAACATTCTCAAAAAAATCTCGTCTTCACCGCCGAATCTGGAGATCTCGTTGTCGTTGTCGTTGCCGCCGTTGCTATAATTTTCGATATAGTTGTAAAAGACAAGAACAAGAACTCATAAATCCCTATTTACCTTTACCCATCGTCTTTGCCACCGGATCTGCTGACCCAACCGCCGCCGCATCTTGCCTCTTCCACCTCTGTCACGCCGCCGTCTTCTTTTTAATTTTTTTGTGATGCTTTTGATATTGAGTATCTTTCCCAGAAAATAGTTGTTTTTGTTATTCTCCTATATTTATAGCTGTTTTCGCTATTCTGCTATTTTTATAGTTGATTTCGTTATTCTACTATTTGTTTTAGTTGTTTTCATTATTCTGCTATTTTTAGTTGTTTTCGATAGGTTTTTGTAGTTTTTCGAATAGTTGTTTTACAATTTATATTTGGTTTTTATTAAAAAATGGCAAGAAATAGTTGTTTCCTGGAAAAAATGCCAAAAATAACTGAAAATTAAAATTAAGAAAAATGAAATAAAAAAATCAAAATTATAGTCGATTTCGGAAATATTATAGTTGGTTTCAGAATCTTTATTGTTGATTAACAAAAAAACTGAAATTAAAAAAATTTAAAAAAATATATATATTTTTTAAATAAAAAAATAAAAGAAAAATATTTTTTTTGAAGCTATTATTGTTAGTTTTTAAATAAAATAATAAAAAAACGAAAATTTAAATTTATTTTAATTATATATAAAAAAATATAGTTTGTAGATGCCAGTTTATGGAGAGATTTGGAAACGATTTTTTTGGGATATAATGAATCACACACGATTGTAGGGATAGTTTTTTTGGATATAATCAATCACACACGATTGTAGGGGTCTCAAATTTCTGGATTTTGTGTGTGTGTCTTCCAGAAGGCTATTTTCGGGAATCACTAAAATAGTGGGTTTTCTACTAATATTGAAAATATGGCTGGATCCCCCCTTATTAAAAAAACACTAGAGGGGGTTATGGCTAATAGTCCCGGAGAAAAAAGATATTCGAATATTATTCGCCTATAGTCATTTTAATGCTGCTGGTTTAGATCTGGAGGGAAAAAAAAGAAAAAAAAAAGAGAGAGAAATCGAAAAATACAGAAATAGAGATAGAAATATAACGAAAATGAGGGAAGGTAGTCGCCGACAAAGGCGCTGGCGGCGATGAAGGAAAGCGAGAGTGAGAGAGGCGGCGACGATGGTGGTGGTGGACAGATCTGGAAAAAAAAAAAAAAAAAAAAACAACTGAGAAATCGAGAGATAACGAAAACGAGAGAAAAAACCTTACTCGGAGACGAAGAACGCGGCGACGGCGACGGCAACGAGCAACGACGGTGGTGGTGTAGAGATCTATGTGAACACGATGGTGGTGTAAAGAGAGAGTAATCGAGAGAGATAACGAACAAGAGAGAAAAAGATTTATATGGAGACGAAGGAGGAAGCGCTGGTCACACGACGACGACGGTGGCAACAACGGTGGTGGAGGAATGTTGGAATTTTCGGAGAGAGTTGAGAGATTTAGGTGGAGAGGTGGAGAAGAGAGAAGATGAAAGTGATAGAGGTGTGCAAATAATTAGGTTATAGTAGTTGAGGGTATATTTGTCTTATCACACTAGTCCAGGGGTTTCACTAATTAAGAATGAAATTTGGGTGTAGGAAAAGTCTTTTAAAGTCAATTGAGTTTAGTTCAAAATATTTTTCATTTGAGGGGTATTGCATATTCCCATGTAAATATGAAAGGGTACAAAATAAAATAGGGATATATACATTTAGCCCTTAAATTGTACTAAATTTTGATTTTCCTAATTCCTTGAAATTATCATAAACATTTGTCGTAAAACCTTGAATAAAGTGTAAGACAATCTTTATACATCCTTCTAAGGAAAATTAGAGAAACCCCTTTCTAGGTTGCAAAATTAGAGGAAAGGATGGAGACTATTTACGAAAGTGTATCGTTGTAACATTCGAGGAAATTACATATCATGCATCATACTAGATATTTATGATATGATTATATGTGATTCCAGATCAGTGCTTAATCTTCATCTGAATTTTCTGTCTCCACATATACTGAAAATGAAGAAATTTCTTTCTTCCCAAGAGTAGGAGTACACAATACTGGCTTCGGAGGAACTTGTATGGATTCAATACTTCCTTCTAACATTTCAACAACCTTTGACATTGATGGCCTATCCGATGGAGTTGTCTGAATGCACCAAAATCCGACCAAAAACATTTTCCTTGTAGTTTCTTCGTCATCATCAATCACTATTAAATCGTTTGCTTTCTCGGTGGCATCAACTACATGCTCGTAGATTTCATCAGGAAAATAATTCTCACTAGATTGAATTGCCTCGTTTCCGACAAATTTTCTCGCTCCGGCCATTTCAAGAACCATCATTCCATAGCTATAGACGTCAGATTTATGAGAAACTCCTCCGAAATTTCTCGAAAATATTTCAGGAGCAATATACCCAATAGTGCCTCGTGTCCCAAGCACCGACAATATACTCTGCTTCTTCTTGCATAGTTTAGCAAGCCCAAAATCCGATATTTTTGGACAGAATTCCTCGTCCAAAAGAATGTTCTGAGGCTTAATGTCGAAATGAACAATCCTTGTATTGCATCCCATGTGCAGATATTCCAAACCTTTGGCAACTCCAACCGCAATGTCGTACAATGTATCTATATCCAGAGGACAATCTTTATCGCCGATGAACTTGTCTAAGGATTTATTGGGCATAAATTGGTATACTAAAGCCCTCTTGTTTCTATCGAAGCAAAATCCCAAGAGATTGACAATATTGACATGGGAGGTTCTACTAATACTAGCAACTTCATTGATGAACTCTTCTCCATTGCTATTTGTCTCGATCAAAACCTTGACAGCAACGAGAGATCCATCGGGTAGCACACCTTTGTAGACACTACCGTATCCTCCTTGACCAAGTTTCTCATTAAATGATTTTGTTATTTTCTTGATTTCCGAATACTTGTATCTCTTTCGAGACAGTGATCCATGCTGAACTAGAATACTTTCAACATCTTGGTTAGATTTCTGGTTAGGGCCAGTTGACAAACGTCGTCTTCTGACACAGGAACATATGACAACGGACACTGTAATCACAGTAGTTATACAGAGTGCCACCACCACTACACGTAGGAGATACATGATCCGAACAATAGAGAGAAGTAATAAAATAGAACATAATGCATGCTAGGGTAGAACAATATCCTTACCTAGGACGACAATCTTTGTAATACGTTTTCTCCATGTATCTGATCATGGGATAAAATCATGTAAACCTTAACAATTCGACAAAATAGTTCCAACTTACGGAACCTTAAGAAGAAAGAAAAAGGGATTGAGAGGATAGGTGTGTATATATACCGTCATTTGCAGAGTAACGTTGAGGAGTCGGTGCTATACTAGAAGGCGGACCTTGTCAAAAAAAAAAACTAAGTTAATGAGTGCAACTTACAAAACATATATGGTACATATTGAACAACTTTGGAGATTACTTCTTAATGTTACACACGCCTTAAACGCATTTCCGTGTCATGCGTTTACGAACACATGTCCGCTATATATCTTGTTGGACCATTGTTGTGACATTTAAGAAACTAGACATGTGATTTAATAGCAAATCTCCAAATATTTTTCTTGGTTGATCTATAATTCTTTACATATATGATTTGATAATCAAATCTACTTGAACTAGGCAATTAGTTGCAGTTTCTTTCTTTTTTAAGGCAATTGGTTGCAGTTTACCCTTAAAAACCATATAGACATTTTTACCCATCATAATCATGGTTCCTACTATATTTCGAAATGAAATATCTAGACGCAACAAATAAATGAGTTCAGGAAAAGACATGTAAAAGAAGAATTGTTCCTATGCAAATCGACATATAGTTTAGTGGGGAAATATTTCTGACCGTGTATATACATATAATAATAAAATATAATTTATAATTATATCTTGTAATTTTAATATTTTACACACCTATTCTATCTTCTATATTCTATTTTCCTTTTTTTTCTATTTTGAAAATGATGTTTCATGTGTTCATGTTCGAGATAATTGCACTTTTGGTCCTCTAAAGTTGACCCCATTTTCACTTTTAGGGTGTTTGGCTAAATTTATTTTAAATAATTGATAAGCTCTTACATCTGATAAGATGTTTGAAGAGTTGATAAGCTGTTACATCTTATTTTTAGGATTAATTTTTAGATTGTTTGGATAATGAGTTTATTTCCTATTTTTACTCATTAAAAGATCTTAAATAAAAATGTGGGGTAGATGTATTTTTTTTTTAATCTTATTTGTTCTACAGCATCTTATTCTAAAAAAAATTATGATTTTTTTTTTTAAATTTACCAAATACTTTGAAAAAATTTATAAACTCTAAAACTTAGCCAAACAGCCTTTTAGTCTCTCGTTTATCACGACCAATAAAATAATTGCCATTGGAGTCCCACTGTTACTGTGACCGTCATCAATTAGCGGTTAAACGTGTAACTAGGGCATAAATTGTTTATATATATATATATATATGTATATAGGGTAAATAAGGCGACCCCTAAGTAATTAGGTTAAATTACGAAAAAAAATTCATGTTTGGATAATTACAACCAGACCCTCAACTATGAATCTTCTTACACGTTTATCCTTGTCGTGTCAAATTCAGTGGAATCTTCTAAATTATGTGGAATATTCTCCAATTTGTACTCGTTTTACCCTATTCAAGCTCTACGTTTTAAAACAAGATGATCATAAGATATGTCTCTTGGCTAGTAAATATCAGTTTGTGGTGTACAAAACAGTACGAACTAGAGAACATTTCATGGGATTTAGAAGATTATATTGAATTTAACACTATATTTGACACCATAAAAAGATTCATAATTGATAATTGAGATGTGGTTGTAGTTACCCAAACATAAAAAGGTTTTCTCGTAATTTCAACTTACATCAGGGGTGGTGACCGTAATTTATTATGTGTGTGTCTATATTATTCTACATGTAGTTCAAGAATACCTTTGCCTACTTGAAAGACATCTTCATCCCCGCCGCCGCCGCGGTTGCAATGGTTCAGAAGAGTGCAGGGGCGGCCACAATTACGGTAAACATCACCGTTGCAATAGGGGTACTTGAACTGGTTTACATCCACCGACCACCGGATGGAAAACCCAGACGTAAGAGCCTTCTGCAGAACACTTACGGACGACGCGATCGTGAGATTCCGCAACGACCGAGCCGCCGCTTGGCTCACCGGAACATAAATATTCTTCTTACACGCCGGCGGTGGTTCCGCCGCGGACGACGGCGGCTGCGCCGCCACCACGAAGACACCAACGCGGCCGTCTCTGCAGACGAAACTATTCCAGTAACCGGAAACAGCGTCATGATCGCAGTCGAAATAGAGAGTGACGTTCTCGTCTTTCGACTCCGGCGAGTACTCGAAGCGGCGGCCGACGATATCTATGGTTGTGTTCTGGAGGATTTCCGGGCAAGTGGTGTTCCACAGGTCTTCTCTCGCAACCCTGAGAGTGTTGGCAGTGAAATCGATTTCCTCCACACGGTAGGATAATGAAGGCGAGATTTTCAGCATAGGTACATCGCCGCCTCGGCAGATGAGCTCGAACCCAGGACGGCCGCACGCCGCCGGACGGTTGCCGCCCCAGAAGGGGTAGGTTATGTACGTGATGCTGCCGCAGTTGAATGGGTCCTCCCCACATTTAGATTGGATTGTCTGACAGAAGAAACCAGGGAGGAAATAGATTGATAAAAGGAATATTGCGTGAAAAAACAAGTGTGCTGAGAGTGTGTGCTTCATTTTTTAGGAGGGAGAAAACTTAGAACACTCGTTTCACCGGAAAATTAGTTATTGGTTGGTTTAGTAATAGTGGTTATTTCGACCATACACTCGTGATAAATATGGGGTGGGTCATCTGACACCGTGACACGTGTTATAATTAATTATTTATTATAGGGCAAATTGTGAATTACCCACTGTAAATTTCTAATTTTCGGATTTTACCCTCTCAATCGGATTTTACCCTCTCAATTTTTTTAAAAGTGAATGTCTCCCCTCAAAATATTATTCTTGTTGCATCTTGCTCCATTAGCAAAATTCCTATCAATTTGCACATTGCCCCTTTAATTTTTTGCACAATGCCCTCCAAAAATTGACTTATGGGGCAAATGGCAATCCATATAATATTTCGAAGGGAGAATATCCATTTTTTTTATTTTTAGGTGGGAAAGTGCGAAAAACAGAAATTTATAGAGGGCAAAGTGCATTTTGTCCTTTATTATATGTTCCCCCACTTGGGTTAAACTGTATGGGTTTTAGAAAAATAAAAAATTTACGCGTATCAACAGAAGACCCACCAAATATTTATCACCGAGTGTAGAGTCGAAGAAGCCAAATAGCTGATGAATTGGTTATGTAAAGACTTCGGAGTCAACGTTCTAGATTTCTGGTCTAGGCTTGCTGAAAATATATTGGGTATATATTTTTCCATGCAATAATCATACACGGATTTATCATTAATATGAATGTCAAAATCGTCCCATTAAAATAAAATAAAACATTAAAAGAAAATAATTAAAGACAAACATTATATTCTTCATCATCGTCACACGTTTGGACCAGCTTGATAGAATGATTGACTGAACCAAATAAAAGTTTGTGGTTGGATTTGGTTTCCATTTTCCATTTTCATGAGAGAGACACTTTGAAAAGTCGTTAACAGTAAATGATTGGTTTATATTTTATACTATAGCCCCCATTGATCCTTTTAACCTTTAGACTTGGAGTCAACGTTTGCCTTGGACTAGAGTGGGACCCAGAGGATTTTGGGCGGGAGCTAGAAATATTTTAATGGGTTAAAAGCGCATAAAATAATAGATAAATAATATAATACTATTAAAAAAATTATAAAAAAAAAAGTAAAAAAAAAGGGGTTTTTGTGCATAAGTTTCTGTCCAACCATCTTTATTATTTTAGGTTCATGGATTATATATCTTTATCACCAATAAACCCATCATTTTAATATATACTAGTACTTCACCCGTGCGTTGCACGGGGTATTTATTGTAAAAGTACATATTTGATTTTAAAAAAGTTATCAGAATAGTAAAATCAATGATATGCATTACAAAGTAGTAGAAAACTAAAAAAATTAAAAAAAAAAAATCTACACAGTGTAAATAATGAATACCAATACCAACATAAATGTGAATACCAATATCAATACCAATACCAGTGCCAATACCAGTACAAATATCAATACAAATGCTAATACCATTACCGTTACTATTACCATACCAAAAACCAATACCAATACCATGACCATTACCATTACCATAACCATTACCATTACCATTATCATTACCATTATCATTACCATTATCACTACCATTATCATTACCATTACCATTACCATTACTATTACCGTCACCGATACCAATACCATTACCATTACCATTACCACTTCCATTGTCATTACTATTACCATTACCATTGCCTATACTAATAGCAATACCGATAGCAATACTAATCATTACCATTACTATTGTTAATACTAATACTAATTTAATAATAATACTATTACTATTATTAATCCTAATGCTAACCTAAATCATAATGCTATTGCTAATCTTAATGTTGTACATTAACTTTAATGTTAATCCTAATACTAATCCCAATTATAGTTCTAATCCAAATTGTAATCCAAATTGTAATACTAATCTTAATCCTAATAATAATAGGAATCATAATTCTAATCCTTATAGAAATGCAAATATGCTAATGCTAACAGTAATCTTTATATTAAGGATATGCTAATATTAATGGTAATGTAAATTCTACATCTAATCATAATGCTAATACTAATACTAATTCTAATCATAATTAACGCTAATCCTAATATTAATATTCACACTACTATTAATTATAATATCCTAATGCTAATGCTAATGATAATTATAATCTTAATTATAATGCTAAGTAACCCTAATACTAATACTAATACTAGTACTAATACTAATATTTATATGCTAATGCTAATACCAATGTAAATCCTAATATACTAATGGTATTACTTATACTATTACTAATATTAATACGATAATGCTAATATTAATATACAAATTCCAATACCAATACCAATACTAATACTAATATACTAATATACTAATATCAATACCAATATCAATACCAATATCAATACCAATACCAATACCAATATCAATACAATACCAATA